TAGATAGATAGATAGATAGATAGATAGATAGATAGATAGATAGATAGGATAAGATAAGATAAGATAGGTAAGATAGATAGAGACAGACAGACAGATGGATGATGGATGGATGAGATAGATAGGTAGGCAGGCAGGCAGATAGATGGTAGGTGGATGATGGGTGGATGAGTAGATAGATAGATAGATAGATAGATAGATAGATGATGGATGATAAGACAGACAGACAGACAGTCAGACATATAGATAAGAGAGATACACACTGTAGATATAGATAGAGAGACAAACAGATGAGAGAGAGATGAGAAATTGCAGATCGATATTGTAGTTAGACAGACAGATGACAGATAATGGTAGACAAATTACAGATAGCTGATACCTTAAAAAATAAATACGGTAGACAGATGACACAGAGAGAGAGAGAGAGATGGATGGATGGATGGATGGATGGATGGATGGATGGATTGGTAGGTAGGTAGATGCACAGACAGTTCAGCAGGTGGCTGGACGAACGAATGGGTGGTAGAGAAATGGTTTGGGCAAGCGGGTGGATGGGGGGACGTCATATTCCTGCTTGTGAACATGATGCTCTGCAAGGAAAGGGGGGGTGGGGGGGGACGCCTTCTGGGGCGGGGGGGCCCCTTCGCTTCCCCCCCCCTCCTGCCACTGTCCCCTCTTCCCATCCTAGGAAGAACGGCTCCAAGTGCCTGGTCCACTGCAAGATGGGAGTCAGCCGGTCGGCCTCCACCGTCATCGCCTACGCCATGAAGGAGTACGGTTGGAACCTCGACCGGGCCTACGACTACGTGAAGGAGCGCCGCAGCGTCACCAAGCCCAACCCCAGCTTCATGCGCCAGCTGGAGGAATACCAGGGCATCCTCCTGGCCAGGTGAGTCCAGGGCGGCGGCTGAACCATGTTCTACTTCTGCCAGAAACTTTCGACTTACAAGCAGGGCTGGGATTCTCCCGGTTCAGACCGGTTCGATTGACCCGGTTGTTAGGATTCTGCGCTGGCCCCACCCCTCCCGGCCCAGTCAGTCCTTATTGCGCACGCGCAGCATCGCGCACACGTCCGACGTCTCCTCCACCCAGTCACTCCGTAAGGCCGTGAGGGCAAACCTATGGCACACGTGCCAGAAAGTGGCACGCAAAGCCACATTACCTCCAGCATGCAAACCCTGGCCCAGAGCAGTGGAGTTGGTGCACACATGCGCAGAGATGCGCGGCGTGCACAGGGCGGTTGCTGATACGTGTGCAGAGAAGCGTGGCACGTGGGGTTTGTGCAGGCTTGCGCAGAGATGCGCGGCGTGCGCAGGGGGGTCACTCACACGTGTGCAGAGAAGCATGGCACGGGTTTGTGCACACTTGCGCAGACATGCATGGCGTGCGCAGGGGGCTCACTCACACGCGTGCAGAGAAGCATAGCACATGGGGTTTTGTTACACCGACAGTGCAAAAAAAAAAGAAAATTAGGACCGTGTTTCACACTGAACGACCGTTGGCAACCTCAAAGTGATCGAAATTCAGGCGCTTGGCCCTAACTCGTACTTATGACGGGCACAGTGTTGCCCTCCCTCCCGGATCCCCTTTTGTGACCTTCTGACCAGCAAAAAAACCCCATGGGGGAAGCCGAGGTTTATTTAACAGCCGGGCTACGGACGTCACTGCTGCGGGGGATTCACTTAAGAGCGGCGGCCAGGAAGGCCGTAAAATGAAGCGAAGCCGGCTTCTCGACTGTCTCGCTCAGCCAGGGGAAATTGGGGCCTCCCTTGCCGTCATAAGTTGAGGACCTGCTTGTAACCCCCCCCTGGTCCTGGCAACTGATTCACATTTTTGACGGTTGCACCCTCCCGGGATCCCCCTTTGGCGACCCTTCTGACCAGCCGATGGGGAGGCCAGATTCACTTAACAGCCAGGTTACTAACTTAACCGCTGCAAATGATTCTCTTAACGACGATGACAAGAAAGGCCGTAAAAGGAGGCGAAGGCCACGTAGGAACTGTCTTGCTTAGCAGCAGAAGGTTGGGGCTCAATTGTCGTAATTAGAGGGACTTACCGGGTAATCCTCTCAAGCAGGGGGTTGGACTAGATGACCTCCAAGGTCTCTTCCCTCATGTTATTCTGTTTTTCTGCTATTCCTCATGCAAACCCCCCCCCCCCTCAGGCTTGTGTTTGTAACGGGCACCAGCCATCTTGGGCAACCTGTTTTGTGTTTTCAGTGACACAAAATCCCCCGATTGCAGCCACGTGGCTGCCAGATGACGCCTGGAGGGTCTCGAATATCA